ACGTTAAAAATGAATTACAGATTCGTAAAGTACGCATTTGGTACGTGACATTTCAGTAGCAATCTGGTCGATCGACTTGATCATTGCTGAAATCGTATGTATATCCAGCGGGACACGGATTTTCCGGGAAACTTTGAGGTACGTTCAAAATCCTTGAAGGTACGCTATGGTACGCTATTGGTACATTCCAAAACACGTATCAACTTTGAAATTCGTTAAGTTTGTCCCGCTGGATAGATTGACGTGGAGAAATGCGGTCCGAATGGATGTTCTATTAGTGATCAGGATCACAAGCGTGTCGTGAAAGCATTAAGCGGAATCCCAATGCTTCGGTCAGGGATGTGGCCAAAAAGTTGAATCTGTCCAAGTATTTCGTTCAGAGAACCAAGGACCAGGAGGGACTGCATACGTACAAAGTGCAGAAGGCTCCAAATCGTGACGAACGGAAAAATACGGTGGGAAAGTCCCGAGCCCGGAAACTGTACACCCAGATGCTGACGAAGTCTCATTGGATGATGAGACTTACGTCAAGGCGGACTTCCGGTAGCCCGGGCTACTGTTCTTCACCGCCCAGCACAAATTGGATGTTCTGGAGGAAGTAGAGAAGAAGTTCTTCCCAGAATTTGTAAGAAATTCTTCAGAGAACTAAATATTTCCCAGAACTTTAGGAAAATTTTCCCATAACATCAGGAAAATTCTACTCAGAACCTAAGGGAAGTTCTTTCCAGAACTTAAGGGAAGTTCATCCCAGAACTGGAGGGAAGTTCTTCTCAAAGATTGAGGGAAGTTCTTCTCAAAACTTTAGAGAAGTTCTTCCTAGAATGTCAAGGAAGTTCTTCCCAAAACTTCAGGATAGCTCTTCCCAAAATTTCAAAGGAGTTCTTCCAAAAACTTTAGGGATGTTCTTCCCAAAACTTCAGAAAAGTCCTTCCTAGAACTCCAGATAAGTTTTATCCAGAACTTCAGTGAAGTTCTTCTCAGAACTTAAGAAATGCTCTTCCCAGAGCTCCAGGGAAGTTCTTTCTAGAACTGCAGTAAAGTTCGTCAAAAAATTTCAGGGGCATTTTTGCATGAACTTTAGGGACGTTCTTTCCAAAACTATAGGAAAGTTCTTCCAAGAGCTTTAGGGAAGTCTTCTCCAGAACTTAAGAAAAAACTCTTGCCATATCTTCATAGATCTACAGAAAAGTTTTCCTCAGAACTCCAGTAAAATCGTCCCAGAATTTGAGGGAAGTTTTTCTCAAAACTTCATGGAACATCTTCCCTGAACTTCAAGGATAGTCTTCCCAGTACTTTTAGGGAGTTCTTCCTAGATCCTCAAAATAATAATTCCTACAAGTTTAGGGGAAAACATCCCACAATTCCAGGGAAATTCGTCCCAGATCATGAAAAGAAGTTCTTGCCAGTACTTTAAAGAAATTCTTCAGAGAACTTTAACGGAGTATTTCCCAGAAGTTTCCATAACATCAGGGAAGCTCATCCCAGAACTTAACGGAAGATAATCGCAGAACTTGAGGGAATTTCTTCGCAAAACTTGAGGGAAGTTCTTCTCAAAACATTAGGGAAGTTTTTCTCAGAACTCCATAACCCCAACCAGCACAATGCTGTGGCAGGATCTTGCAGTAACGTGTGACTAAAATAAGTCACATACAAGTTACCTCAACCGGTTTTGTACCAGCTAGGGAGATTTCTTCGCAGAACTTCAGAAAAGGTCCTCACAAAACTTCAGAAAAAATCTTCCCAACATTTTAGAGATGTTCATCCCAGAACTTGAGGGAAATTCATCCCAGAATATGAGGGAAGTTCTTCCCAGAACTTGAGGGAATATCTTCCCAGATCTTGAGGGGAGTTCATCTCAGAACTCCAGGAAACTTCTTCTCAATACTTCAGGGATGAACTTTTCTGAAGTTCTGGCAAGTTCATCCATGAACTATGGAAAAGTTCTTCTATGAACTCCCGAAAAGTTCTTCTATGAACTCCCGAAAAGTTCTTCCCATAATTTCAGGGAAGTTCTTCCCAGAACCTTACGAAAGTTCCAATAATGTTAGGAAAAATTCGAAAACTTCTAAAATCCCCGTAATTTTTCGAGCTTCGTTGGAGCAACAAGGTATTGTAAAGTGTTTCAAGAATTTAAAAAGAGTTCCCACAAATTCTGAAAACTTCGATGGAGTTCCCAGAACCTCAACTTTTGCGGCATTTACAGATCTTTTTAAAACTTGAATAAATTCTTCAAAATTTACAGAACAAAAGCAAATATACTGCGAATTTCAGAAATGTTTTAACGAACTTCTGCAAAGAAAATACAGGAAAATTTTAAGCAGGGTTGCTTCCACTCACTTGCTATAAAAAAATGATTTTCTGAATTTTGAAATCATTCGATGTTATAATGATATTTTGTACTTGTTAGATACAAGAAGCGGATGAGAGGCAATTGTTTGACTCATAAAACCTGTCAATTTCGCTACCAGAATGTTACAATAAGCGATTTTACGATTCGTGAGCGTTCACTCAGAGTGAGCGCTCGCGCGTCGTAAAATTGCTGATTGTGACTATCTGAAAGTGAACTTGACAGGTTTAATGTGTCAAACACTTGCCGTTCAACCTCTTCTTGTATCTAACAATTACAAAATATGATTATAACCAGGGTTACTTCCACTCACTTGCTATAAAAAAATGTTTTTCGGAATTATGAAATCATGACATAGTAAAATGCAAATTAGTACTTCTAAGTTACAAGAAGAGGTCGTGAAGTATGTGTTTGACTCATACAACCTATCAATTTCACTTTGAGAGCGTCACAATCAGCAGTCTTATGATTCGTGAGCGTTCACTCAGAGTGAGCGCTCACGAGTCGTAAAATCGCTGATTGTGACGTACTGAAAGCAATATTGACAGATTTTATGTGTCAAACATATACTTCACGACCTCTTCTTGTAACTTACAAGTACTAATTTGCATTATACTATTTCATGATTTCATAATTCTGAAAAACATTTTTTATAGCAAGTGAGTGGAAGTAACCCTGATTATAACATCTAATGATTCCAAAATTCAGAAAATCATGTTTTTATAGCAAGTGAGTGGAAGCAAGCCTTATTTTAAGTACTCCTGATGTGTGACTTCAAGTTTAGTTTACCAAATTTTATAGGTCTTTTCAACTGTTACGCGCCGTGTTCGGAAAATCATTATCAAATCTCATTCATTAAGTATCCCTGAGAGAATGAACTAGCGTGCAAATCTGGCTAACAATTTCACGCTGAAGATTCTCATGAATTTTCACGCACTTACGCTCACAATGCTCAAAAGTCATCCCAGCTTTAACTCAAAAAAATCGCTCAAACTAGATTAATCTCACCAAATGAAGACCCAACTTTGCTGAAAACGCATTCCATAATGCATCGCTGAGGAGCTTTTATTTGGTACTCCTCCGACCCCTGTGCGCCATCTTGTAAGATAATCCCAAACTGAGAGTCAACATCTCAGAACAACAAGCAGACACTTTCAAAGTTTGCCAAGAAATACATGATTTGGCAAGCGATCTGCTCATGTGGCAAACGCAGTGCGCCATTCGTGACTACCGGGACTGTAATAAGGGAGATCTACCTCGAGGAGTGTCTACAGAAGCGTCTGCTTCCTCTGTTGCAGCAACACGAGGGCCCTACGATCTTCTGGCCGGATCTAGCTTCGTGCCACGTTTCAAATGTTGTCCTGGAATGATACGAAGTCAACTTTTGTACCCAAGGACATGAACCCCTCCAACGCACCGGAACTAAGGCCCTTCAAAAAATACTGGGCTATTATGAAGCAGGCACTACGGAAGCATCCCAAGGAGGTCAAATCTGAGGAAGAAAAGTGGGTTTCCGTACAGAAGAAGCTGCAACCAGATGTTGTACAGAACCTAATGAGAGGAGTTAAGCGTAAGGTGTGAGAGTACGGTTATGGTATTGAAGTTGAATGAAATAAATATTCCAAAAGCTTACTAATCGGTTATATTCTATTGTCTGAAAGTTTGGAAAGGATCGCTCAACTAGGTAATTTTCTACAGCGTTTTTTTCGTGATGCAATTTGAGGTGGGACACCCTTTAGTACAAAACGTAAAAACTGCAGTCCTGTTTTGAGTAAAGACATTAAACAACACTAAAAATGGTAATGTATGTCATTTTTTTAAAACTTTGTTTTTATTTTCTGGAACTGATAAACCCTAATTCATTGTTTGTATAGAATCACGAAAAACTCACAATTCTTTTAAAGAAATCAAAAATTTAACGCTATTGAACCGTTTCCAGCATGCACTACCCTATTTGTTCAGTTATTTCTCATTACACTAACTTTATTACTTTTACTAGTATTGGATACTCTGTGGCACCCACTTCTGACTTTGTACCGTTTCGCCTGCAGGGATACTTTTTATTGTTTCGGCTAGATTTACCGACCGTCTCTCTACAGCTGAAAAAACCACCGCCTACCGGTGCACTATAGTTGACATTGACACCCTATCAATGACAGTCTTTGCCTTTGTTTTCCCTGATTATGATGCAGCAATTCAATGCCGCTCACTGTCTGCACTGTTTCTATGGATGCGATTTTGCTGTTGTCATTTTCCAGGTTATAAAAAATGCCATTTATTGAAACATCAAAAATAACGGTATTCCCCCGCGACGAGTGAGTCACATTGCTCCCGAGCTGCTGTCGTTGGCATGAATCGAGGAATTGTCGAAGCTCTGACAAATTGCAAATGAGTACAAACCGCCCGGCTGTCGCTGTTAGTTTTTATGGTCCATTTCCTTTGGCCATTTTTGGACTTCTCACGTCTTCCGTCTTCCTCTGCCACCTCTCATGCTCATGGGAATCGGATGTTCATCGCAGGGAACGCCACCAAGAATGGTGGCGCCACCGCCGTTTATAATTTGAACATTTCTGTTTACAAATTCGGCTTTATGGGAATTAATTGCTGTTTACACAAATGACAGTCCGTCTCTGTTTTCAATCTTCTATTTCAGATTACCACCCATATGGTTCCATTCTAATCAAAACACGACACAGACAGAGAGACGCACCTTCATTTCGTTTCGATTCAACCCCGAACGGAATAATACGATTAGCATGAGTGAACCGGCGAGTGCCACACCTGGAACCCTACGAAGGGCTAAACGGGGTGCCACCGCGGCCGTAGATGGCCATGCACCATCGGCGACGTCACCCATCGTAGTAGGTGGCGGCGCCGGATCGCCGAAAACCATCGTAGCCGAGGCAAGGTTTGAAGGACTCACGCTCGAGGGCGTCAACCAGAATTTGGTAAGTCACGATCTCCACGCCGATTTATACATATTTGTTTTGGTTTTCGCTGTCTTAGATTAGCATATGTCGATTGCTGCTGCTCCGTTTATGTTTGTTTATGTTCGCCGTCCGTGCTGGGGCGGTTTTACTTTCGTTTGCAGGTTAAATGTGTCACGTTGCTGCGATGTTGGTTTTGAAGTTTTCGATTTTTTTTCGACCCAAATTTTTTAAGGTAGTCGACCGCATTCTAAGAATTATTACCGACGATGGCGAATCTTTTTTTCGGATGGCAAGCGTGCAGGTTTAACACCGCTCGTCATCATTCAGGGCGCAGATCATGACAAAAAGAGCTTTTCTAACCTCAAACTCAGTCACAGACCGATCGTTTCCAATGTATGCAAGGTTCTTAGCTTAGTGGTTGTCTGGTCTCTTCCTTTGTTGCAATGAAAAATCAATGCAGAGGCGGTTAAGAGCCAGTGGTATCACCTGGAAATTCTTCAACATACCTTGATTTGTTGCTGCTTCACAGATAGACCGTACAGAGCACCCATATCGCGTTCCGCTCTCGACGAGCGAGCGATGCGGAGATTACGTAACAAATCGTGGCTAGTTTTGTTTAGCGGCGTTTCGAGGGCTCATTAAAAGTATACGTGCTTCTACATATTCACAGCTAGCAGACCATCTATCGCGCGCGGTGAAACCGAGTGCAGCACTTGCATATGAAATGCAATGCGGACATCAGACCTGGATCGAAGGCCCTTTGGGCCACCTAGCTGAGCGTGCAATTCGGAATATGCTTATGTTTATAAATTCTGTGCCACTGACTGACGACTACTAGCCGAAGGGCCGCTAGGGCTTTTGGGTAACCGACCGACTGGGCGCGTTGCATCTCCCTTTCTTGTTGGTGGTTCTTGATCGCCGGCTGACATGACAGATGCGGCTTGTGGTAGCGATTGGGAAATGTGTGTATTTAATGTATGTCTTCTGCGCATGAGGAATTAATTTGCATGTGAAATTTGCTTTTCACAAACCAAACGGCATGTGCTTCGTTGTGGATGGCTTTTAAGGGATGCACGGATTATTGGTCAATATTAACCAGCTGAATAAGAAGGGGTAGGATGTATTCATCTTGAATCGTTTCATCTTCATAACATTTTGATCGAAATCAATGGTTACTGTTGTTATTATTCTTTATTAGAAAGACTTTCACTGCCTGTAATTCCGGTGTGATTTGAGATTTGGGCGTAATTGCTTTTGCAAAAAAAACACGTCAATTACTGATTTCTCTTGAATAAAAGCTCAATATCACAAACAAACTATACCAAATGATAGAGGAATCATTCCTCTACCTCATAGTGTTATCACTTTTCGAGATTGAGCTCAAATCTCAAATCACTCCGGAATTACATATCAGTCCCATATGGAAAAAGTAGGCATTGAAAAAATTAACAGTCGAAGTGAAATGCCCAAAAATCTTAGTAAATTAATTGATAATATTTTCAAGTCAAAATCAGTTGCAATGAAGCTAGCGTGTTTTTTTATATCAGCGAAAAATATGGCAATTCAAAAGCAGAACTGTAACTTGACCTCTGGACGATTGAATTTCAGGATGGGACTGATATGCGATTACTTTGCTTGAAGGAACAAACAGTTATCAGATTTTTCATGATTAAGGTCGATAGTTTTATTACATAATATGAAAGTAGATGCCAATGATAGTGGATAGCATTATTATCTAAAAATTCAATATGGGACTGATATATAGTCGTGTGCCGGCTCGTCTCTTGAAAAGAAGGAAGAGAAGCATCGTACTCAGCTGGCACTCAAGAGCTGAAAATAAACTTAAATAATTTAGATCAACGGATCCAGCCTGGACGAAGGCTTCTTCTTCTTATTCTTCGTATTTCAAGTTTATTGCATATCGCATATTAGCTCCCATCTTAGTGTTCTAGATGCACTTGCTCACCCTAGTCGAACACTTGTCACTGAACAACTGAGGTTACTTGTTCGTAACTTATTCCAGTCACAATCAAGTTGCAGCAACTTATTTCGATGGATGTGTGCTGCTTGGGGCAGTTATTAATTGAGAGCTTTCGATGACGGTATCATTTTTACATTAGTATACTTGTGTGTAGACCGGACCGGGAATCGAACCCAACTTTTGTAGCTGCGTCTTTACCGACTGAGCTAAGGAAGGCCCCGAAGAACAAAGGCTGAAAGAAGTGAATCATTATAATGTAAATCTTAAAGATTTTCCATCACCAAAGGGCTGAAAATTAATTTAAATCAATAAAGCCAGCCTGAACGAAAGGCGGGTGGCCGGGAAACTGGGAAAGCCTGAAAAGCTGGGAAATAATCGGAATTTTTTTTTTCTATTTTTTGCATGTTGGCAAAAGGCTTATTTGAACTTCACGAACTCATAAAGGCTCTAAGGACAATGTTAAAGACCCCATTGAGCCTGTAGATGTTCAATATCTGAGCTCCAGAATAGTTTGAAGAGCATTAAATATCTCATATAAACCATTCGATGTTGTGCATGTTGACAGAAGGCTAACTTAATCTTCCCGAACTCATAAGGACTTTCGGGACTTTTTTTCAAGAATTAATTGATCCCGTAGATCTTTAAGATCTGAACTCCAGATTGCTTTGGAGAGCAACAAGTATCTTATTGATATTATTTCATGACGGGTATGTTGTCAAAAGGCTGCCTCGAACTTCTTGGATTTATATGGATTTTCAGGACATTGATCAAGCCTATATAACTCCAAGATCTTAACTCCAGAATGGTTTGGAGAGCATTGAATATCTTATTGCAACCATTCTAGCTTTTTAGGACACATAGAGTCAATAGGACTTCAAGATCTTAGTTCCAGGGCATTTTGGAGAACCTAGAAGACTTAGAGAAAATAAAAAAAATATGTTTAAGGGAAATATGTTCTATGGTTTTTATCAATTTACAAATGCCCATGGTTTTAAAGACTCCAAAAGTTTGTATTGTTCAAGAGTTATCTTTTAAAAATAAATTATAAATGTTTAAGGTATAGTTTTTGAGATATTTCAGTTTTTAACGCTTTTTTGACGTAGACTACGTCTTACGGGAAGGTACTGGGGGTAAATCGAAAATCTAAAATTGCGACCGTCACGAAAAGATTTAATATTTTGAACGCTATAAGCTTTGTCATTTATAGATGAAATTAAAATCCGAATACACCAATCGATAGGAAATACCTTTCGTAAGCTGTTGCAATGAACTTTTTTTTTCAATTTTTCATAAAAACTGTTTTAAAAATCGGCAAATAAAAAGTGATAATTTTATCACTGTTTTCATAAAATAAACGTTTTCCCCAAACCCCAAACCCAAAACCTCATAATCAAGTATAGTTTGGTTACACATCGTGCTGCTTGAATCAGAAAAGTTATAAAACAGCGCTGCTAATGTTTTGCACCTCGAATTTTGCGCGTCGTTCCCGTCGAGATCATTGGCTGCTGGTAGCGGCGTCGCCTCGATGGCGCAAGCGCTCCTTGCCTGAATGATAACTACAAATCTCAATTACTTTTCGGAAGGACATATCAGCTTTTGTAAACAACGCATTTTATCGTTGATTTGGCATAACTAATAGCTCGCCCCACATACTAACACCATAGAGGTAACTCTAAGACCACTGGGTCCCGAAGAAAATCATTATTATTTTTGGCTCACTCAGTACCAGAACAACGGTCCCAAGCAGTCCCAAGCTATTTCACTCACCCCTGCATGTTCTGCATGAATCCACACACCCCTGATGTTATCTGTCAAACTTTCATAGCGAATCAAAACAAACATAGTGTAGTAATAGAATTTCAACTAGAATAGGGTACGTTAATCGTTTGCTTGGGACCAATAGGCTACTAAAGTGGTGAGCCAATTTAAAATCGTTAGTTTCGTATTGATTGTTGCTAACACCGCTAATAGGTTGGGAAAATTTTCCCCTATCTGATGGTAGTACCATAGAGGTAACTTTAAGACCAGAAGGTCCCGAAGAAGCGTGCTCAACTTTTTGGCTCAGCTCTGGTACTATCTTCGGTCCCAAGCTAATCGATTCACCCCTCGAAACATAAGAAAATTCACTAACCCCTCATGCTTTCTTTCAAACTTTCATAGCGAATCAAAACAAACATTTTGTAGTACTAGAATTTCGACTAGAATGGGGTCCGTTAATCGATTTGCTTGGGACCAATAGACTAGTCAAGTAGTGAGCCAATTTAAAATCGATAGTTTCGTATTGATTGTTGGTAGTACTAGCATGCGTGGGCGAGCTACCAGTTACGCCAAATCGACGATCAAATGCGTTGTTTACAAAAGCTGAAACGTTCCTTCGAAACAGTAATCGAGAAATACTTCTTGGGGTGTGTACCAATTTCCGAGTTAAATTTAACTCGTGGTTAAATGTGACATTTCGTAAGTTATTATCAATGTTCGAAAATGCCGGAAATTGATCAGTTTTCATACAGAACTCAGCCACGGTTACCAAAATTTAACTTCTAGTCGGTCCGAAATAACCACCCTCGTATAGCAGGGTTATTCGATAACTCATCTGTCACTTTTAACCACGAGTTAAATTCAACTCACCCATTGCGACACAGCCTTGGAAGTAAAATTAGGGCGGTCCATAAATTACGTAAATTTTTGACCAATTAACCCCCCTTCCCTCTCGGAGCGTGTTTTGCAATACACCTAATACATGGCCGGTCCCAACTTCTGAAACCTCTCTGCTCCCTCAACTACTACGTTATTTATGAAAGTTCCCTAATCATTGGACAACACTGAAAGACAGCAGCACACACCACACAAAATGGATTGGACATTTATGCGAAATTTCGGTATTGATAGTCAATATTTCGCGATCAGAACATTTTAGCTTGAAATCCCTCCATTTAATTCTCGGTACATCTTTAATCTATTGATTGAATTAAAAAAAAATCTTAATATCGTTTTTTTTAAAGATTTCGTGCGTTTTGTGAACGCACATTCATTATTT